ATGAAGCAGCGGAATATAAGCACAATAATGCTTCTAGTTATTATAATGCACTGAATCACTGGTAATGAATATATCGTTACCTTTGGCTTAAAATATTTGTATGTACATTATATTGAGCCAAATCCTCAACCCATTTAAAACTGTGCCACATTTTCCACTGACTAAAATGGGAGATTTTTTTGGTTGTAAATGCACATGTTAAATTTGATATTTAAACATGCATGCCACCTGAAACCGTGGGAAAAAAATAAACTCATTAACAGCTATGATTTGGGGGAGTGTGTATATACAGTTTAAGAATGAAGAACTCTTATGTTTTGTAGTAAGAACAGATGAGTGAGACTTGCACATTCTCAGAGAGCAGGAGGAAAAAAATGAAGTAACTAAAATGTTGTGTCCTTTAAAGAAAATTAATGACAAGCATATTTGGGATATAAAATGAATCCTGTTTGCTTAAAAGGACCTTAATAACTTGCTTATGGTTTTCCAGTTGAATTAAGAGGTCTGTATCTTATGCACTAAATTCATACTCACAGATGCTTTTTATGTATTCCGTGTTTTTGTTTTTATTATGAAAATAAATCTTTGATTTTTCTAGTGCTCACGTGTTGTCTTTTATAGATTTTTCTAAGTATTTACATTATAACTATAGCAGTCCATTGTGAAACCTGAAGTGTTTCCTTTTATTTGCTTCTCAAGTCCCATTCCACACAATATTAGTAATCTCTTGCTCTTTGCCAAAGCCAAACAGTGACAGTTGCAGTAATAAATATTTACTGCAGGCATTGGTATGAAAATACCACAGCACTACAAGCGTAACCAGAAACAATTCTTTCACATTGGTATTTTGACTGAATTTCAGGCTTAATTTTAGGTTATATATTGTTGAAATAGCTCTTCAGTGGTCATCATAATACAATGCTATTAGGTGCTGATTCAGTCTTCAAGCAATTGTCAATTAAAATTACTTATTGCTGGTCTTTTAAATCTTTTATATATTTAATTCAGCCCCTTGTATTGAGGGCACCAATTCACACGCCGAGAGCAGAAACTTAATATATTCAAAGATCTGAATGTTTGTTTGCTTGAAAGAATGGTGCAAGGGGGATGTGGCGGCTTTAGTTTCCTTTTTTAAACTGAGTAGACAGATTTTAGCATGTTTCTGCATTAGTCATTTACAGACGGTTCTAAAGTATTCATGAGTGAAATTGTCTTTTTATATCTTTAGTCTTGGCATGACTTTCCACTGTGAACTAGAGTGTACTTTGAATAGTTTTCCCTTTTATTGGTTTTCACGTTGTTAATAAAACAGTATAAATGGAATGTATGTTGTTATAAGAGGGCAATTTATTACAAGATGAATGAGTAAGATATATGGCATGCACAGCAGTGTTTGCAACCAGTCACATAGCATGCTGATGGCATGTGGCTTGTTTAGTTTAACATGTGTATAGGGTCTTGTTTTGAAGCATATATATTAAGATGAACTCAAATGGAGTAAGAATTGAGAGTATATCCTTTTTCACTTCAAGATAATTACATCGTGAAAGGCAAATCAACAAACATATAGGAAGTCAGATATTCAGGTAGATAATTTTTTAAATCATTCATTCCCTCAAGCGTTTCCTGTACATGGAATTTGCCTCAAGAAATGTTGTTCTATGTATTTGTTGTTTTTCTCCTACTATATGATGAAGCTTTCTTTAATAAAAAGCATTGCCTAGTACCACTGTTCCACAGGTCTGGGATAAAGAAACGAAAGTTTTAAAGTAGTGAGAAGAATAGATGAGAATAGTTTTTAATTAGAATAATTTTGCTGCAGTAGATTTGAAAACACAGACTAGAATGGAGGCCACAACGTAACCCTATAAAAGCATCCTGTATCCATGTAAAAGTGGAGATATTATACAGTAAAGCTATTTTAGATATATTTCTGGCCTGACCAAAACCAGAGCCTGCTTTTGAAATTTGTACAACCTCGTGACTATACCTAAGGGCTACGTCTAGACTACATCCCTTTTTCGTAAAAGGGATGTAAATTAGACATATCGCAATTGCTAATCTTGAGGAAAATAAAGCCTTTTCTGAAAGATCCCTAAGGGATAAGGGATCTTTCAGAAAAAGCTTTATTTTCCGCAAGATCAGCATCTAGACTGGCGCTTTTTTCCGGCAAAGCTCCGTGCGGAAAAAAAAATGGCAGCCATGTTTATGCTAATGATGCGGGGGAGATTTAAATCCCCGCTTCATTAGCAATTGTGGTACATCTAATTTACATCCCTTTTCCGAAAAAACGATGTAGTCTAGACGTAGCCAAGATGTTCTCATAACCTTTGAAAATAGTTAGAATTCCATATATATAAACAAATGCACTTTTTGAAGCTTACCCGTCACTGGACTAGAGGTATGTGAAAGAGCCAAAGAAGCTTTTGTCATTGTTTACAAATATGGGCACAGCTCCTGACATGGAACTACATGTATATGCACCATAAAGCTGATGTTTGCCAGTTTCTTTTATACCCTATATAGGAGGGTTTCTGTATGGATAAAGCTGCTTTCCTGTTTTTGGAATGGCCCACCCCTTATCATACAAATAAGTTACCTCAAGTGTCCCCCAAGTTACCTTTTTTCTCTGTGCGCATGCATTCAACACACTGGTGCTATATATAAAAAAACCTAACCATATATATAAAATACTTCTTAATGTACTTAACATTTTAAAATCTTACTTCTAGTATAAAATAACATTTGAAAATATAAATAAAATAAAAGCATTAAGACAAGAATTTACTCTCTTCTTACTTATCACTCCCTGTGCCTTTTCTGAGACTACAAGAATGACTGCACTCATTATACAGTATGGTTTTATTTCCTGCCTCTAAAGGGAAATTTTTGTTTCAACTCTGGTGTTGTTAGGGTTGATTGTCTTCCTGTATGGAGGGTGACTTATATTTTAATCATGCTAAAACTATAAGAATAAAAAGGAGAATAAAAAAGAAAAAAAGGAGAGAGAAAGGAGAGAAGAGCAATACATTCATAGATTACAGATAAAAAGGACTATCTGGTCCACTACTTAGCTAATACAGGAGTTTCCTCAACAATACAACTTTTTTTCAGTCTAGCTTTAAAAGCCCAAGAAAAGTCCTTTGCAAAGCTAACCCCCTGGTTCAAATCCTCACTAAGGATATGTCTACACTAGCCCCCTAGTTCGAACTAGGGAGGCTAATGTAGGCATTCGAAGTTGCAAATCAAGCCCGGGATTTAAATATCCCGCGCTTGATTTGCATCTTCCTGGCCAGTCGCCATTTTTTAAATATACAAGTCCGGACTAACTGCCCGCGTCTACACGTGGCAGGGACCCGGTAGTTTGAAATAAAGCCCTATTTCGAACTACCTGTTATTCCTGCAGGAGTAGTTTCAGTGAAGGCAGAACGGCTTATAATGGAGAGAGGTGCTACCCAACATGAGTAAGTATATCTAAGACTAGCTTTGGGCTCCAATTCAGCAAACATGTCTGTTGAGAAATGCTCTTAATTTTAAGCACATGCTTGAGTTCTACTGAAAAAGCACATATTCTTTTTCTGATTCAAAGCAATGGAGAGGAACTATCCCTCCCTCTCTCATGATCTGTTATCCAATATACAAATGGCATTGCCTTGTTTTGCCACCATATTTCACTTCACTGTCTTTTCTTATTTGCAATCCTGTTTGATCTTTAGGTCTTACATATTATAATAACAAGTTTCTTGCAAAGGTCATACAATATTTTATGGCTCAGCTGTAATGGACTTTTTCAGTAACAGCAGAGTGTAATCAAATTATATATTAAAACTATAAAATCACAGTCTGATAGTAACTATTTCTGAATGTATTTTTTTTAAATCTCATCTTATACTATATTTTAATCAACAGGACTCCCAATGAATTACTGTCCACTGTGTTCTCTTTATCTGGGTTATCTCTAATGTCACAATTCTACCATCTCACTTGCCATCATAATTAGTCAATCAAAGTCTTGGTATTTAAAATATTATCCGCCCCCTTGTATTCCTGTAGTTGTTTCAATAACTCAGTATATCATTGTAAAAAAAATCAGCACTCAGGAGATTGAATAGACACGTTCTATGTGGTTTTAATAAATACAATTTCCTTGTGATAGTCTTTAAAAATACATGAGTAAAGAAAAAATACATTGACATAACTGTGCATACTGATACCATTGCAAAATCCTATAATGTATCTTTATCTCGTGATTACAATGGTGCTGCAGAATATATGTTGTTTAGAGCCTTTATTTTATTTTGCTTTTAGTTTTGGGAAAGAAAATGTACCCTTTTTGGTGTGGGGAAATTTTAAATGCTTAAAATAACTTATATGTATAGCATTGTATATAATAGTGAAGCATACATTTTTCTAAGCAAATTGAGTGTGTTTCTACAACTCTTTCAAAATCTAAATCTCTGTAAGGAATAACTGTTATTAATCTATTATTTTTAGCTAAGATCAAGAGTAATGTCAATGTAATATTTTGTCTTTCTCTGACTTTCAGAACCGTACAGGTTTAACAATAGTACAGAAGATGAAATGATTTTCAAAATCAGATGATAATAATATATAGCAGTTATAGTGCATTATAAGCTCAAAGGACTGTGTATAAATGCTAACTGTCTAAATTACTAATAACTCATATGACCTTTTAAGGGATTATCGTGCATTTGTAGGAGAATGGTCTCAATGGTCTGATATGTCTTTCCAGTGTAAGAAATATGTATCTAGTAAGTGTTTATGTTATACAGGGGAACAGTGTGTATGGTGTTTCAGTATAGCACTGTATTTTACAAATGTACTCTAGTGATAAGAAAAAGGTTAGATTGAGCTGATTATCATTAGTCAAAGTTTTATTGAAATTTTAGGTGTTTCTTTGTAGCTGCGACATTAAAATTCCAAATGAAAACGGTCAATACATTTATTTTGTTTCCATTGCCTTCTTATTTTGACTGCAGACCTTACCACTGGGACACCAGCAATATCAACAACAGTGGAAATTCGGAAAAGCAGTGTTATGACAACTGAGATCACCTCTAAAGTGGAAAAAATCCCCACAACAGCCACTAGCAGCAACACATGCCCTTCCGTGGAGACAGAGGAAGAAAAGGCAAAAAGGCTGCTTTACTGTTCACTATGCAAGGTTGCTGTCAACTCCACCTCACAGCTGGAGGCGCACAACAGTGGTGAGATGTAGCAATTTCTTTTCTGTTTCAAGAGCTCTGCAATTATCTTCCTCTGAATAGATTAGGTCTCTTGCAGCAGGGGACAAAGAGGTGGCAGAAAACTGGCAATTACATGGAATTCATTAAGTATTAAAGAATAAAAATGACAAGCAAGGAGTCTTTCATAAGGGAAAAAAAGAAGTCTAGTGCCTACAAGTTACCAGTTTTCTTAAATTTTACTTTTTATTGCTTCCAAATATTATGGTGGTAAGTGACAGCTTTATACCCTGTTACTCTGACTGCCACGAACTGGGACTGTTCTGTTCATCCCCTAGCACTTGCCACTGTTACAAGACAGGATATTGGGGCTAGCTAACCATTGGTGTGATCCAACAGACTTAAATTGCAGCAAGGGAGGTTTAGGTTGGACATTAGGAAAAACTTCCTATCAGGGCGGTTAAACACTGGAATAAATTGCCTAGGGAAGTTGTGGAATCTCCATCACTGGAGATATTTAAGAGCAGGTTGGATAGACATCTATTAAGGATGATCTAGATAGTGCTTGGTCCTGCTGTGAGGGCAGGGGACTGGACTTGATGACCTCTCAAGGTCTCTTCTAGATCTAGCATTCTGTGATCCAGTATAGCTGTCTTATATTTGGTGCTCAGAATTTGCATACTTTCATTTATGTCAAATAACAAAGAGAATATTTTGGTACAAAATATAATAAATTATACTGAAACAGTCAATTAAAGATAACATTTTTTATTGAACAATAGGTTTTGGTAAGCATACAGAATAAAAATATCTAACCCTGCACTAAATGGCTGATGATGGCTACTCCTTGGCAACTAGAGGCTCTTTCTTGTAGATATGACACTTTCTTACCACTAGTGTAAGTAGTGTTAGAGAGCCCTTGTGTAGACAGGTGACCAACTGTTGTTACTTTTGTAAACACTATGGTGGATTTGACTTGTTGTGAGCAAAGCTAAGGATTCTGGTGTCAGCATTAGGGACATTAAATTGTGTTTAATCAACAAGTTGATGGGATTTCCATCGACTAGTTGATTAGTCAATAAGGGGAGAAACTGCAGCGCCACAGTGGGATTAGCTCCCAGCCCCAGGAGCTAACCCTGCTGTGGCTCTGCCTTTTAAATTTATTAAGAGCTGCCAGGATCTTAATATATTTAAAAGGCTGAAGTGCAGTGGGAGGCACCAGATGCAAGCCAGGGCAGCTTATTCCCAGCTTACCCCACCTCACAGTTCTTCTGCTTTTTTAATGTATTAAGAGCCGTCAGGAATCAGCTATCCTGGCTTGCACCTGGTCCCCCTTGCTGCACTTCAGCCTTTTAAATGTATTAAGAGCATGATGGTTCAAATACATTTAAAACGTAAAGGAACAGCGTCTGAGACTTGGTGTGGGCTGGGAATCAGCTGATTCCCAGCTCATGCCCAGTCCCCAGTAAGCCCCTGCCTCCCCTCAGCACCGGCTCCTGCTCCGCCCCTTGCCCCCTCTGATAGTGGAGCTGGGGGGAATTGGCTTTTAAGATATGTGCTGGGGGGAATTGGCTTTTAAGCTGGCTCCCCTCAGCTCCGGCTCCTGCTCTGCCCCTTGCCCCCTCTGATAGTGGAGCAGGGAAGCGACTAGTCTAGGCACTACTCTCTATTCGATAAGCTTATGCTTATCAGATAGTTGACTAGTCAGCTACTCACTTACATCCCTAATCAGCAGAGAAGAAATCCTGCAAAATAATAGTGATAGAGATTATTCAATGTTGACCTACAACCTTGCCTAATGTCTTGAAATTGATCTTAAGCTTGCTATAAGTAGAATGACACTAAATGGATATAAAAGACAGGACTATGCAGCCCTTTAAAGACTAACAGGATGGTTCATTAGGTGATGAGCTTTCGTGGGCCAGACCCACTTCCTCAGATCAAATTGTGGAGGAAAACTGGCATGACCATATATAATTGTATCCCTTTGGTATATATGGTCATGCCAATTTTCTTCCACAATTTGATCTGAGGAAGTGGGTCTGGCCCACGAAAGCTCATCATCTAATAAACCATCCTGTTAGTCTTTAAAATGCTGCAGAGTCCTGTCTTTTGTTTCAGCAAGACCAAACTAAAACGGCTACATCTCTATTACTATACTAAATGGATATAGAATTGATGGGTGAGTATTTCTTACTAGCATGGAAGATGCACGAGGAAAAGTTGGTAAACATAAGTAATGGCATTATTAGGCCAAAGGACTATTGTATTAGCATGAGACCCAGAGGGATTAGTAAGGGTTTTAATTAGATTGGGTTTTAGTTGAAATATTACAGACCTAAAATGGTAAAAGGTCTTCAGTTGAAATCCAAAAAAGATAACTGTGGTAAGGTGCAATCATTTATTGTTTTTGATGGTGAAAAGAAATTTGAGAAGTTCTAAATATTATGGGCCAGATCTTTAATTAGCTTTAATTGGTGTGGTTCCATTGAAGTCCATGTAACTACACCAGTTAAACATCAGATCAAGATCTGGCTTTGCATGTTCATTTTAATAGAAAGTCAAAAAAATGTCAAAAAGTAGTCTGGAAAAGTGTGTTAATTTTGAATAAGATTGTAACACCATACACATTCAGTAGCAGCTTCAGTTATGAGTGGTCCTATTTAAATCAATTATGTAAGGTATTATTTAAAACAAGTAATGGTATCACAATTTTACTCTTTATTATTGATTTAATGTCTAGAGTTTGTTTTAGTAACAAATGTGAGCAATGTCCATATTTTTCTTATATTTTGGGTTCTGTCTTAGGCCCTTAAAAGCTTAAGTTGTTGCCTGGAACCTCCAGGGTTTGGGAACTGATTATTTAATTGCAGATTCAGGTTCCTGAGACATAAAATGTGCTGTTTATCGTCCCCATCAGGGAAGCTTACAAATCACTTGAAACACCATCTTTAATAGCTAAATCTCTCCTTCTGTTCAACTATTGTTCATGTCTTATTAGCAGCAGGCATTAATGAAAAGAAGTCACGCTTATTCAATTTCACCTCAGGATACTCTGAGCATACCACTACTTACTGGTGGTAGCTTTTTGTTCCCGTTTAGTTGCCTTGATATGTGCAATTTAATAATTAAATTCTAGGCAATTATGTATTAAATGTGAAATATTGCTAAACTGATTATTAAACTGATATAGGCAATGTAGACATATTGCAAACACAACACATTGTAGAAAACTGAGATTTTTTACATGTGTTCATATTGTATATATGTTTTATTTCTAAGTTTATGTGTATTTAAAAGTTAAAGTAATAAAATGCAATCATCTTGCCCAAAATATCTGTTTCCTATTTGGAATCTCTCCAGGGACTAAGCACAAAACTATGTTGGAAGCCCGGAATGGAAGTGGAACCATTAAAGCCTTTCCCCGGGCCGGTGTCAAAGGCAAGGGACCTGTTAATAAAGGAAACACGGGCCTACAAAACAAAACATTTCACTGTGAAATTTGTGATGTACATGTAAACTCCGAGACACAACTTAAACAGGTACGCAAACAGCTTGGATAAAGTTGAATCCTTGACTCTGCCATGAGGCGGGGGGAGTACCTTTGCATTTAGCATGTGTCAGTGTAATGAGAATTCACATCTAAATGGAGCTTGCTGCTTTTGCCCTTTTTATTTGGGCATATGTTCTGTGTGTTTGTTTTTGGTACGATTTTCCATCAGCTAACATATGTTTCCTCAAAAACTATTGATTATATACATTTAAAAACTGTTGTAGATTCTCTCTGTAAACTATAATATGTTACAAGTGTCATTAGATTACCATTAATGCCATGGCTTAATAAACCATGTCATTGTGTGTGCTGTGTGATATTTGTATTCACAAGGATGTGGGGGTGTATAGAGAGAGTCTTTTTATAGATTGTTGGAAAACCTCTTTAGCAGTGTGGGCTGTTTTTATCATGTTCCTCTTCAGCCAATAAGCTTAACCTCTAAATTGCAATTACACTAAGTTATAGTCAATTATTCTCTCTCAGATGAACAAAGCCATTGTTCTGGAATATGCTTAGTTACTTTATGTGCCTTTTAGAATTGAAAACTTGTTAAGAAAAGTATGGAGGCAAATAATGTGATGGACTCTATTTGTACCTGTTTCATGCTTTCGGCGGCTGGGGGAAGTAGATTTCCTTGTTTATCTTACTTATAATAATTCTTTTCAGGAAAAAAAAATGTCCTGGAAAAAATAGTTCATAGCTTCTAAAGCGCCATAGAATCTATATGGGAAATGATTGGATAGTCTGGGAAATTACTGGCTGCATTTTACAGATGCTTTAAGATGGGATTTTTCAAAAGGGCCTAATTTTACTCCCAAGAGGCCAGCAGTGCTAAAACTCACATTTGACTTCCGAGTCAGGGCATGGCTGAGTATTTTGAAACATCAGCCAAATACATGCAGCACTAAAAGTTCCTTCAAGTTGATACACATCTAAATGGTTATCAGCTATTGCTTTATTTTATTTTAATTAGTCAAATTAATACTATTGTGGTGAGCAATAATCTTCAGCACTGGATAGGGTTAATGATGTGATACTCTTTGAAAGAAGGTAATTTTTCTAATATCCCTTTCTTAACAGCACATAAGTAGTCGAAGGCACAAAGATCGAGCTGCTGGGAAACCCCCTAAACCTAAATATAGTCCTTACAACAAACTCCAAAAAGGAGCACATCCACTTGGGGTAAGCAAATGATTTTCTCTTCCATGATGTCATATTGAGAAAGATTTTCCAAAAACATCACTGGGAAAAATGTATACAAGTTGAATGACAGACTGTGTGTGCATGGTCAGGATCTAGCACCGAATCTAGGTTTGATCCTACTCCTAAATCTGTTGCTTGTGTCCCTTGGAAGAGCTCAAATGCATCCTAGAAGTGAGGAATGTTAGTTCTCAGTAGTAATTGGAGGCAAGAAATTGGAAGTGAAAGCTCACTATACAACAGAAGACAATTGGAGTCTTTATATGAACGTCAATGGGCAATGGAATAAGCCCAATAAGAAGCCTTTTTAGACTGGTACTGGAGATGGTCTCAGAACAGGGCACCATTATAAAGGTCAATAACAATATAAAGGTGAAAAAATATAGTTCTTCAGAATGAGAAGAGTGGCAAAGATTCTACCTGCACCTTCCACAGTGAATGCCCAAGAAATTAATGTTCAGATTGTTAGACAGGATCCACCATAAAATGCACATTTTTGTTTTTATTTGTATTTATTAAAATTACCTGGATAAAATTAAACATAGTAAAAAATCTATAGTTTTATCTTGTGCAATTCAAGCCAGAGCTGATCACATCCCGCTCCCACAGAAGAAACTCTTTGAGGCTCAGATCTCATTAACATCAAAGACTTGGGGCCAAGAGAAAAATAATGTATATTTATATTTAATAAAAAATAAAATTCTTAGGGTTTTGTTTGTTAGTTATAAAATACTCTAGATCCTTGGTGGGATAGTAGAGTGTAACATAACAGCTATCTCTCAGATGATCTGCCTGGGAATTTTTCATTCTGCTGTGCAATGAAATACAATTTTTCACTGATATTCATTATTTTACTATTTGAGGCAAGCTCTTAACAAATCATTGGAGCTGTACATACCAGTCACTTATTCACGAGCTGTAGAGTACACTTGCTGCAGAAAGACAGAACTTGGGACTTTTGTCTTCAAAACTACAATGCACTACAAATGGAGCCATAGAAGCGTCTCCTTCAGGAGTCTCTAGGGCTATGTCTACACTGCACATTTATTTCGGAATAAACTATTCCAGAATATTTATTCCGAAACAGCTTATTTTGAAATAGCACATCTACGCAGCAGGGAAGCCTCAAAATTAATTCGAGGCAGGCTTCCCTAATGTAGATGTTCTCTCTCAATGTAGTAGGAGGAATAACTTAGAATGGCCCTGGTGAGGGGCTATTTTGAAATAGCAGAAGTGGAGTGTCTACACAGTCCCTATTCCAAAATAGCTATTTCATAGAATGAGGTTTACAGAAATTGGAATAAGCCGTCTGTTCTTTCAAAATTGTTTTGAAATAACAGAATTGCTGTGTAGATGCTCACATAGTTATTTCGGAATAACAGACGTTATTCTGAAATAACTTTGCTGTGTAGACACACCCTAGTAGAGCAGCCATTAACCCACCTGAAAATTTGAAGACCCTAATATATACAACTCTATACAGAATGGATAATAGAATATATTTGTATTCTAGTGTTTTTTCCAGTGTAGTTTTAAATGTCTCAAACAAAAGGTCTTCAGCACTTTTCTAGAGATACTATTACATATATTAATAAGTCTGACTGTTAGGAACTTCTAGGCTACATTGGGACTCACTATGTCCCTCTCCAAACTGATGGGTTCCGCACATAAAAAGCTAACCTGACCAACCTCTAAATTCTTGTCATCTACTTTTTTCACTTTTTTAAAAAAAAGAGCTCCTATATCAAATGGTTTTTGATTAATTTATTCTAAATAAAGATTTTTTAAATAAAAAAAACTATTTCAATCCAAATAAAAAATAAGGAGAAAAAATAATATCATAGAGAGGGAAGAGGGCTTACATCATGACCTGCTAAAGGGTGTTTTAATGACCAAGAAAAAGAGCCTGAGGGAGATTTCAGACACACAAGCGGGAGATAAGTGCCTGTCCCCCCCAAAACATCTCAATGGGGTTAGGTACCTAACTTCTCTTTGTGCCTTTGAAAATTTCCCCTGAAATTCTTCAGCAGCAGATCTAACATCTGTGAGTAGATACTGTTACCAAGGTTTAGTTCAACTCAAAGCTCTTGGCAACTGTGCTCCATGTGAGGTGGTGTCAGGAAATAAATCAAGGAAAACATTTGCTAAAGAGATGGCTAAGGGGCTAACCCCTCAGCCCACCCTTTCTGGAACCCCAGAGCCATTCCCCGACCTAGCTCATGGTCCAGCAAAGTCTATAGCAGCCATGGCCAGCCCGCGGCTCAGGAGCAGCATGCGGCTCTTGCCCCCAAAAGTATGGCTCATGAAGCCGCTTCTGTGCCCTCCCCTGCCAGCTCCCTCCTCAGTCCCCGGCTTCCCTGTGCTTTCCAGGTCAGAGCTGCAGGATTTTAAAAATGTCACCAAAGGTGGTGGCTGTCTTAAAGGGGCAGTCTCCTTTTAAAAAAAAAATATTTTTTTTGTTTTTACTTGACAAGTCTGGTGCAGCTTTTCGCATTTTTTCCGCCACTGTTTTGGCTGTCTTTGTTAAATGGCTTGGCCACCCCTTCTCTAGAGGTTGCCCTGTGCTTTCATAATATAGGAGTGCTTTCACTTAAAGCTGCTAACACTTCACTTAATCTCGAGCATTTACACGCATCTGCAACAGGTTAATAAAATACTCCTAGGCCTCAGTAATTACCAAAGTTGGGTTTGGCTCTTGAGTGAAACTCAGCAGCAGTCTTCTGATGACCAGTCTTCTACCAATCTTCCTGTGGGGACCACAAGAGGGAGAGTCCTTGAAGAGTCCATCTATCCCAAACTTTTCTTCCCTATTTATTCATACATGTCACTCAAACTTGTTAAGCAAGCTATTTTAAAAGTTAGGCAAGAAGATTCTGGTCATTAATTAGACACATGTGTTTTTTCAGTTTGCATGTCCTAAGTCCCTGGCAGGCACACTCCTGAGGGCACATACAGATGAGCTTCCTGATTTCTAAATGCATAGCTCAGCAATTTTGACAGAGACATCATCAGGAATGATGCAGAGTCAAGGTCCCCTTTCTATGGCACCCAGATCCCATCCCCTCTTGACTTGGTCATGCTACAGGCTTCTGCATAGGCCCATCAATATGGCCTTGTAGTTTGGCTATCAATAAACGATAGTGGTTCAGGCACTTCAGTAGTTGCCAAAATCTCCCTTACAATAGCTGATAGAGAAAAACTGAGCTTGTGGTGGTGGATTACATTGATGGACTACACAGGTGCTGTTGGTTTATGGGATAATCTTCTTGAGGATAATCTGTCTCTCTCTTATTGGCTGCGGTGAAATTAGCCCTATCCAGTAGGTGAGAAATGTCCATATTTATACTGAGATGTACACCATTAATATACAACTTATTGAGAGATTCTCAGCCCAGGACTCAAGGCCTGATCCAAAGTCAATTGACGTCTCCCGGGGTCTGCCACTGGCTTTAGCTGTGACCCATATTCTCATCTTGGATGGTAGTCTCTCACATTGGGATAGTTCATGCACATATCAAACCTCAGTGTTAATACACTACAATGAGCGCTGCTCCTGCAATATATTTTTAGTTCTACTCAGATATAATTCAGCATGTTGTACTTATTGTGTGTGTTTGAAAGATGCAAATGGAGAGGTTTCAGAATTGTTTTTGCTATTGCTCAGTGCTGATGCTTTAAAAGCTTGCTAAAAAAAAGCTGCAGAGCTTACCTACAAGACTATATCCCAGCTAACTAAATAGAGATTGCATAAAAAACTTACATCAAAAATGAATTTTCAGAAGAAAGCTTTTAAGATCTCTGCAAGTTTTCATTCTCTCCATAAGTACGATCAGCATCTTCCTTAGAAATGCCATTTTACTGATTCCTCCCTGCAGGAGATCCAGTCAGATGCTGTAGAACAGGGAAAAAGGGAATGCATCTCCCATTTGAATGCATAACAAATCAAAAGATGTTCATATCTGTTGTGAGATAATTTTTTTTTTTTTTTTTTTAGGGGCAGGTGCTAATAAATGGTGGTTCACTGATTATCTTTTTTAAAAATAGAACTCGCCTAGCAAAAAAAAAAAAAAAAGAAAAGAAAATACCTGCCTTGTAATGCATTCAAATGTGATGTGTTTTCACTAAGTTCTAGTCTGCATCATCAGATTATCCAGATGGCTGCTTCCCAACTGATTGTCAGTTCTGCCAGTTCTTTCCTATTCCACTTTTCCAGGGCAACTGCAACACCCTTTAAATTTTATGCAAGTTCTGGTTGCTTAGCCTCTGTCAGGACTCACTGAAATTATAGGTTTCTACATTAAGATGTGACACCAAAACTAAAATAATGCTGAGTTTGAGTAGCCTCTACCAAAACATAAATAAAGTATATGATATAGTGGCTCCATTGTTACAGAACTGCAGCTCATGTCTAATGCCAGAAACTAATACCACTCCTCCCTGTCTGTATTTTATATTTTATAATCTACAAAGAGAAACCTGTCACGTGGCTAATAGGAACAAATTTTGCTTTCTCTGTTATTTTTTTCTTTTCCTCACAGGTAAAATTAGTATTTTCAAAGGAACCTTCAAAACCAATGGCACCACGAATCTTACCAAACCCACTAGCAGCTGCAGCAGCAGCTGCTGCTGTGGCTGTGAATTCCCCTTTCAGTCTTCGAACAGCTCCTGCAGCGACTCTGTTCCAGACTTCAGCACTTCCTCCAGCACTCCTACGACCAGCTCCTGGGCCTATAAGGACCACCCATACTCCTGTGCTGTTTGCTCCTTACTGAACTCCAAACAAGAATCAATTGTACTGCAATAATTTTTCAAAACAAAAACCAACAAGAAGCAAATCAAGAACATGGAACTATGCAGTGTTTATTTATAGTTTAAAGTATCTATGAAGAACCAGGACTTTTGATAGAGAATTGATCATATTCTAAAAGAGGGATGGGGCAGTATTTTCTCCAAATGAGGGTATTCCTCTTGAATATTGACCATTTTAGAAGTGATCTCCAGCATTGACTCACAGTGACATATAGAACTTGTGAAGCCTTTTTGACTGTGCTTTTTGGCACATATTTCCCCTGAAATGTCTTTCCTGCTTTATGAAACAACTTACAAATTTGTCTAAAGGGCATTAACTTGTTCCAATGTACATAAAATACCTTTATTCTGTAGATTAAATCAAGAAGAAGAAAAAGAAACACTGTGAATAGTAGTACCCTTACTGATCCTCCTGCCAAATCAGCAGTTAATGGGTATTTTTCTGAACAAAAGTAGCTACAATAGATGTCTTGTACAACAATAGTATTGTGTCTCTATCTATGCCACTAGGTTTATAACTGAGTTGCAAAAGGTTAAATAAACAAAATATCTCACTTTGTTAAATAGGCAAAATGACAATGATAATGTGGTGTTCCTAGTTAGAATATGTTCTTTTCCTCACCTAATAGAAAAAGTTAAAGTACAGAGACATAGAGTAGATCTATGGTTAAGGCAAAATAAGAGATAAAGAACATTTAGTGTAAAACTTCCATATGCTGTACACAAAAAAGGAAAACTTCCAACTGAATAATATGTGTACAGTGTATGTATTCAAAAGTGCTAATACTTACAGGATGGATTTATGGTAAAGCTATAAAGGTGGACAGCAAAAATATTCTGTTTTCCTGAGTCACAAAGTATAAATGCATTAGTTTTAGAACAAAGGGATGTCAAGAGTGGGTTATGCATGGTCATACATAGCAAATTAAAATGATCTGTGAAAATCTGGCCCCACAGATGACAACAGGAGATTTGCCATTGACCTCTGTGGAGCTAGGATTTCGCCCCAAGATTAGGACATATTTTTTTGATATTATACCAGTACGAATTTGTGTATTGAATAGACATCAACACTTTTTTGTTATGGGTGTAGCCACAGAAATGAATATGTTCTATCATTTTAACTTCCTACTGATGTGATATATATAAGCAGCAACACACAATATACATATTATGAGATAATTGCACATCATGGGTTTGGAGCAAATACCACATTTAGTATTCTAACGGACCTGAAATTCTGTAGCTAATCTTTTCATACTTTGCAAGCTTTTAAAGCCTTATATATTCTCTATGAGGCTTAAAGGGGTTGATAGTGTCCCTATAAAATAGGATTCATCAGGGGTATATATATATATATATAGATATATATATATAGATATATTGTATATATGTTAGAGTAAGAAAAATAACTTATAAACAGAAAAGCTACTATATAAAGTTATTATATAACCACTCAGTTTCATATGTGGGTCATTAAATAGTAACAAAGATCAGAGAAAAAAATCAGCATGTCTTGAATCTGATATTTGCTGCCTGCTTTTCCTGATAGGGATCTGAAAAAAAAATCTATTAAGATTATGGAGTGGCTGTGAGTCTGATGCAGCCACTCTGATGTGTAGCTCAGTGAAAAGATGACCATACTCTTAAGATGAAGAAAAAAATCAAAACCATAATTTAAGTTTGGGGCGGGGGGAATGGTTAAAAGATTTTATAATGGTGCTCTTCATATAAAATAAGGGCCATGAGGTCACCACCTAAAAGTGCTTGGGGTAGATTGCGAGATGTACAAGGTGGAAATATGCAGCACCCTCAACTTTCAGGTTATTTAGTGGGCCTGCCACGCACATTGGTACTTGCCATTTTTTAAAGCTTACCTTCATATATTTTTTTTACAAAAATAAATAAAAGAGAGAGAGAGATGGACACTGATGGATGTGTCCAAAGAATTCCAAAGATGTGTGTTTATTTCTCTATAAGGGTTAATTAAAATAAGCTCTGTATTAATCATGTCTATGATTTGGTCCAGTTTGTCTGCAAAAGTTTGTGCCTTGAAATCAAGTTGGTTGATAGGAATCACCTTAATTAGATATTGGGTACAAATGAAATATTATGGTGATTTCAGGACTACTTAATTACCTGAATTTTTGACCCAAGGTATTCATAAATGGGAGAGAAAAGGTAAGCTCCTAATGTCATATTTAGGCATCAAAATAGCTGGGATGATTTTAAAAAGTGCTCAGCCACCAGAGGCGCCCCATGGGGTTATAAATGGATCCACCTCTAAAGTGGTAGGCCTGCCAATCAGTGTATATGAAAATCAGCCCTCTCATTTAGATGTATAAAGATAGTTTTAGGAGCCTAACTTTGATCTCTCCTTTTAAAAATCTTGGCTTTGCTCTTATAAACTATCCAGCCTATGTTCTGTATGCAGTAGCTGTGATGTCATCATCACGTGGCATATCCCTTACCAAAGCGGGCAGTGGTTTTTAAGCTGCGCTTGATGATACCATTTTTCAGCAGTGTCTTTTCTAGTGGTCCACAGATTAAAACCTTTGAGAATCAAGGGGAGGACTGGAGTGTTGGGAAGAAAGGTGAAATAATACGTAGACCGGAAAAGTGGAAAAATCACTAACTTATTTAATAGTCTTGTGCACACCATATTGGGATGAGGTTTGGGGGAACGCATCCTGCCATGCTATCACAATGCCATTAAAATCAACAGACCCATCTTTGTGAACATGTTGTGGCCTGTGGCATGAATGGAGGCACAGTACTAAGGGAAGAGTTAATAACAGTTTTTCTCAAAATAAATAGTGTCATTCCAACTATTTCCACCTGCAACTTCGCTGTCTGTCTCTTGGACCTTTTTTTGTCACAGCGCTCTATAGAACAATTTTTTGTTCCCACAAGTCTCTCAAACTTCAGCTGTACACAACAATCTCAAACCTTTTTATGTCTCTTACTCACTACCTAATAAAGGATAAAGCCTAAATGTTAGACTGTATAGTGGGTTTTCTGTGCCTTGCTGTCCTCACCACCTGTTGAGCGGCACCTATTGTCAGGAATAAATCAGAATCATTGGGATCCAATCTCCTCTGCTAACAGATGTTTTCTCTGCCAGTAGTTTTCACATGTGTTTATTAAAATATTAAGCAATCTGCTTGGCGAATGGTGATCCCAATCCATGTGCATGACCACAGCATCTGGAGTTGGAATTATCATGGTTAAGTCCCATTACACACACTTGTGTCACTATGCCTTTGGCAGCAAATATAGTAAAGGGAGAAATGTCTTTTCATATTTCATTTTAGCAAAATATAAGTGATGCTGCAGGACTGAATAGAAGCCTAAAGCCGATGGCAATGGGTCGCTTCAACAAAAATAGGAATAAGTTATTGGGCTGACAGTATGAAATCATGGTTACTGGGGAAAGGGCTATGTGTGTATTTAGACAAGCTGATATGATCAATGATAAGGTTCTCAGATTCCATACTGTTTTAAAAAAATGATAGTTCTGGTCTGACCAGAAGACATGGTATTTATTTTCATGGGAGAGGGGTTTTTATTTGTTTGTTTGTTGGAGACTCATCATTGTACTGAGCACAGAGGAGAGTTACTTTCTCCTAAAAGCTAGTATAGACTATAAACTCTGCAGGGTCGGTAAGCAAGGGTAGTCAAACACTGGAATAAATTGCCCAGGGAGGTTGTGAAATCTCCATCTCTGGAGATATTTAAGAGTAGGTTAGATAAATGTCTAACAGGGATGGTCTAGACAGTATTTGGTCCTGCTATGAGGGCAGGGGATTGAACTCGATGATCTCTCGAGGTCCCTTCCAGCCTGCGATGACCCTATGAACTGAAAAAAGATGAACAATGGTGAGGACATGGCAAATGCCAGGCATTTGAAAAGTACATATATTAATTATTTCAAAACAGTTGGTTTACATTTTATACCAAGAATAATTAAATGTCATTTTAGAAGGGAAAGACTGCAAAACAGGCTGCAAGCATGGAAAGATATAAAGTCTTTTTCATATGCTGAAAACATGGAGACAATGCACAGAAGTCTTCTGCATAATTTGTATTGTCTCTCATGCATTCAGATATTATTCTCCAGTGTACAAGGTCATTCTCTACCTTGTTTGCCTTTTTGTTGCTCTTAAGTGACCAAAGGGATTGCAGAACTTTGGCATGTCATTCAATAAGAAATGAAATCGCGTGGTACAACCTCCATTTTCACTCTGCCTTTTGTTCCCCAAACAGTAAACCTTTTCTCAAGGTTCTCTTGGAAATTTCTACCGAAAAATAATTGGTGTAAAAATTTTCAAACATACCTGGGGGTATGTCTACACTACCCTCCTAGTTCGAACTAGGAGGGTAGTGTAGACATACCCAAAGATTGGTACACTACCCTTGATCTAAAAGATGCCTACTTCCACATTACTATCACACTGCATCACAGATGGTTCCTCTGCTTTATAGTGGGCCAGGACCACTATCAGCTTATGGCCCTCTCTTTTGGCCTTTGTACAGCCCTTCGAGTATTCACAAAGTACATGGCCATTGTGGCCACTGCCCTGAGAAAGCGGGATGTCTAGTGTTCCCCTACCTGGATGACTGGCTTCTCCAAGCTTCTTCTTCGGATCAGCTGCTTGCTCACATCACTCTAGTGCAGGACTTTTTTCAAGAGCTGGGGTTGCTCCTGAACATGGCCAAGTCAACCCTGGTCCCCACCCAGGGTATAGAGTACCCACCTGAACTTGGTGTTGGCCACAGCCTCCCTTCCCAGATCCTCTTTCTCATTTTCAAAAGTGTCTTAGACATATACGACGAGATTTTTGAAGGTATTGTCTTTCAATGAGACTTAAGCTCTTAAATGTCTGTCACTTTTCAAAATGCAACTATGTCGCTTAGGTGCTTCTGAAAATTTTATCCCATAATACCTAAGTATTTGCGTCTTGTGTGCCAGGCTGTACATGCTCATCTGCAAGTCCTGTCATGTTATTGATAGTGAATCACGGAAATCTATTATTTAAGTTTTGACCCACAGTTGAGGGGAACAGTCCTTTAATGACAAATTAATAGGTCACTATTAAACTGGTTGCTATCTCAGCCAGATCCTTAAGAAGTTAAATGAAGCACCAAACCTCCACTCTAAGTCGTTGTCTACACTACACGTTTTTGTGGCAGAAAATATGCTCATGAGGGACTCCTTAGCATAAGTTGCAACATCATTAGCATATTTTCTGTTGCAAAAACGTATAGTGTAGACATAGTCTAAGATATTTTTTCCTGTACTGGAGCTTGCTGTATTTAACTTTCTTCCTTCTGTTATTCAAGGAAAAAGATAGTGATCATGTACACAAAGCCAGATGGAAATGGAATGAGGCCGAGTAGGCTTTACAGTCCCAGACCGAAAACAAAAATTCTATGACACGACTGAAGTCCTTAAAATGTCAGCACTCCTGTTTCTTTTGAAGTCAGTGACAAAACTTCCTTTGACTTCCATGGGGACAGGATTCAATATCTTCAATTCCTGGAGCCTATTAGGCTGACACTAACCTCGTCATGATCATATACTCTCCCAAGTTCCTTCAACCCTGCCTTCTGAGGAGTTCAGATGACAAAAATGGATACATATACTTGGTTGAGTTTGAAGACTCCATTAACACCTATCTAGCATTTACAACAAACTTTGTGTTGGACAGCTAGTCAGAGGCCAGGAAATGTATGGAAAAACAGGACAGAATTTGACTCCCATGGGCCTTTTTCTTCCCTTACGTTTCAGTGGAGTTCATGAGGCATTAAAACAGAAAATTCTGGGGCTGCATGGTGATATATAGGACCAGTGAAGTTATATGAGTTTAACTCTTTAAGAATAAAGAATATAATAGTGAAGGGAACCTATGTGAGCCTTCGTTATGTCAATGACTTTGTGCAGGCTGGAATCTAATATTTGTGCTGTGCACAACTGAACATTTGCCTGTATAATTAGTAACAGAGCTGGATATTCATGTCCAGTACAATAGCTTAACATATAGGGTGCATGAGACAGACTTGATACACCAATATCACTCCATTTAAATCAATGGAGGTATACCAGCTTACACCAGATGAGAAACTGGCTGTATAGCCTGTATTTTATACATTGTTTTGTCCCTGTGAAGGATATCTAAGATTTATAGTTTATATTTTATTGTAATAATATTTTAAATTTCCACTATATTTCAACTGTCCCTTTCAAGTTTTCATTGGCAGTGCTTAGGTATTCACGCATTCTTTTCACATGAGTTTTAGCATGCAACATGGAGTTGTAACTGTAGATTTAAGAAGCTGGCATTCAAAAACCTAGCCAATGAGACACTGGATCAGAGTCAATAAATCACGGGCTAAAGGTCAGGCAACACTGAAATTATGTTCATATATTTGCTATAGAGGGAGTATGCATACTACAGTAGAGTCACTGCCATAGTTAAGGTTTTACAATGCTTTCCATTCTAACCCTCATTTCAACTGCTCACAACTTTCTGAAACATTCATCTTTTGTTCCAGGCTTCATCTCTAATTAAACATGATTTTTATGTATGTGTACTAAATATGAGTCTACATTCTTGAAACCAAGGAAAATGGAAAACAAATCAAAACTATTAACCATACAGCTGGGGGCAGCGAATTGATAGAGGCCATATAGCAGTGCCTTTGGATTAAAATTGGTTTTGACTTGGTTTGCCAGTGGCTACACTGCAGATGCTTCCCTTGGGAGCAACCAAATAAGAAGGGGTGGGGAGCAGGCAGATCCATGGCTTTGATCCTCTGTCGTGCTAACCAGTGGGGCTGGCTAGCCACATGAGACGAGTATGAATTATTCCATAAAAGGGTATAATTAATTACTATTCCAACTTTTCCTCACCCAACAGGGATCCCAGGAAGGATGTGGAGATGCTATTCTTACTAGTGCTCCTTCAGGGGGAATGTTGGAAGTTTATATGAGAACAACTTACCTCCTGTTGAGTTTCTAAGGTCCAATGAGACAAGTTAGGAATGGTCACTTTCTTGTTTCACAGTGTGAGCAATAAAGTAAATATTTTGATGGTGAATATTTTAACTATTAGTTTTCTATAGAATATTTCTACTAAACTAATCAGCAGTAAAACAGTTAATGTTACTAGTGTAGCTGTCATTATTAGGCATCAGAGTTAAAGACTTCAATGAGATTTATATGATAATTCACAGGCCTCAGGGCTATTTTTTATGGATTTCTGCACATGCCAAAGAGACAATAATTAATTGCCTTAAAGTAGATATGCCTTTTCAAATTGACATATCTTTTTACAACCCTTAAGTCTATCAAAAAAGAGGGGAGAGGGTTAACTGAAATCTTACATCTTGGATCATCCATCTGATTGATGAATAAAATTCCAAGAAGAGTCTTAACGTGTATAACTTCCACAGGTATTGGTATGCTCATTTGAAAAGTCTCAGAAAATGCATGATGTGTGCAAAGAGCGAGTGCCATAAGTTTGGGGAGGGTGCAGTATATTATTGAAACAGAAAAAAACATGTAATTTGTGCTTGAAGTGCTAATTTCAATGTAATCATCACTGTGGAACCACCATGGTCACTATAGCATAAAAGTATCTAGGTTTCATTGCCTTTGCTTCTAAAATTCAATTTAATTTTCTGTTAGTTACCCCAAACAGATCAGTCTTCCCTGAAACCCCTGCTGGCTGGAGGACCACAATGGGGAAAAATCTTTTGGAGGAACAAGTATATGTATCCATTTCTCCCTTGCATATTCATCTTGTTGATCCAGTGTAACCAATGGTCTAGCTTCTATGTTTGAGAGGGTGGACACCCAAGAGCCGTTCATAGCTCCCAGATTCTTCACTCATTTCTGCCTCAGCTCCTGCCTCAGCATTGTTTAGAGCAGTCTGAGGCTCTCTGAGTAGGGTGATCATATTTCCCTATGTTGAATGCAGGACACCTGGCAAAATTACTCATATTCAGGTGAGTTCAATGGCAATCAACCAGAACTGTGTAGTACAGGCACAAAAATTAACATCAAGTTGACTGAGCCCCATTAAACATAAATACTGTGTAGCTGGATTCTTTTTAT